AGAATCACGATTTTTTCGTGAAGCATTCCTTTAACTGATATACGAGAACAACTGGATTCAAATGGAATTCCCCTTCACTCCTCTGAGAGAAGAATACCTTACGGCCCCTGCGACCGAAAGTAACACTAGGAAACCATGCCATATTTTAGCATGTCGAAAATCCTTACTCGGGATCCTGACCGCAGACAGCACCAGCTGTTCGCCAAGTATGAGTCGATATAGCCTGCGATATGCTACCACGACGACGAGATAAAGTATCCTGTAACGAGGAGATACAATTCCATAACATCCAGAATCTCTTCAGATACATATTAGAAATAAAAAGTCAATGGGCAGATGATTCACTTACATTCTTCATACTGCCTTGTTTCACATTGTCTAGCAAAAAAGAGTCAGACTTTGATCTTTGCAATGGTGGAGGCTTTGGTTTTGACCACCTGTGCCATGTAGCCAGGGTGCGCTGAAATTTGAAAACTATACAAATTATTCACTTCCGTTTAAGAACAATTTTGGAAAAACCATAAAAATGCTTTTCTTGCATTTTTGTACTCATCATGTAAAGAGGGTATGAATCAAGAGAGCCAGATAGCGGTGGCGCTTTTGCTGTGAGGAGCATTCTATCCCATAGAACAAACAGAACTCCAATCGCTCAAGTTGAGCACTGGTCATATAAACGCCCAATTACAGGCTCTCAAAAGCTTTCCCCTTTTCCTTTCTTTTCTTTCCCTTCTTCCCCGTTTACGAAGAGCAATTAAGCAAACGCTAGATTTTTATATGCCCTGGAATAAATTTTGCCGGATATACGATGATTGACCTTGAGCGAAATAAATATGATAATACCAGTTAACTGGCTAAGTAGTCAACTCGTGACCGCAATCTGGACCTCCCGACCGTATTTAGTACCAAGAACCCCTTACCGGACAACTGAGCTGTCCTGTCTGGTAGCAGCCCGTGCGATCGTTGAACACACAACAGCCTGTAGAATTTTCTTTTTTCCTTTCCTCAGTGATCAGCTTCCACAGACCGGGCTCTCGTCGCATACATGGAGAATATTTCGCACCAAGCCGTATCAAGTCAGCCTTAACTGCTAAGTAGAGTGTAAAAGAGATAGGATGCAAAATATCTGTGAAAACCATACAAATCTTGGTCCAATCCAGAGATTTACTGGTTCGAAGTAGCTGACTTGGCGCATGACCAGCGTCACATCTATAACCTCCTCTTTCATTTCCACTCTTTCCCAGCCCGCTGGTCCAAGGCCGTAAAACATCAATGAAATAATGCAAACAATCACTTGCACCGATGTGATCCACCAAGTGAATAGTGGTCTGAAAAAAAAAACCCACATAAACGTAAGGACTGAGGATAAACGAAAAAAGATGTATTTGAAGCTTCATGAATTCAGTGTTGCAGAGTGCAGGCCAGTAACATTTAAGATAGAAATGTTCGGATGAGAGAACCAGAACAACCCCGAAACGAGTGTTTTCGGAACCTAAGGAACCGCCGAATAGCCGGCAAGGTTCGAAAGCACAGCTTATGGAAAAGAAATTTTTTATTTTTTTTTAAAAAAAAAAAAAAAAAAAAAAAAAAAAAAAAAAAAAAAAAAAAAAAAAAAAAAAAAAAAAAAAAAAAAAAAAAAAAAAAAAAAAAAAAAAAAAAAAAAAAAAAAAAAAAAAAAAAAAAAAAAAAAAAAAAAAAAAAAAAAAAAAAAAAAAAAAAAAAAAAAAAAAAAAAAAAAAAAAAAAAAAATCCAAAGGCTTGACAACTTAAAGGCATGCCCCAGGATCGCACTGGTGTGGCTCTTGCACACGAATGTGAATGTATCGGTGCCAAGTGGGCCGGCAGTGAAGAAAAAAGGAAAAGAATCCGTCGAAAACGCTCAGGTTGAGGGCTCACTCACCTTCCTAATTGGCTGTGCTAAAGGAACGAGAGACTAAGCGCGAAGAGGAGAGTATGGGGCGAGAGAGCGCATCAGATGAGAGAGCACCAGACAACGGCCTGATAAGAGAGCTCGTTCGCTGCAGCTCGAGCAGCTTACTTTGCAAGCCCAAAGCGTTCTTGTCGGTCGAATTCCGTGCACGTGAACGCCACATTTGTGATTGTCCCCTAGGGTTCTATACTTCTGACCGAAGAGAAGCGTTCACACGACCTCTGCCTGGGTTGTGCCTTTAAAATCACAACTCCCAGTCAACTCATTGCACAAGTTACCCTCAGTTCATTATATTTTTAAGTATAGCATTTCTTGTCACGTTGAATAAATGATAGTTCCTTATCATGTTAGCTAGATTTTTTAGCGCTTCTAACCAGGGAGAATATCGGTTGAGGTTTTCTGAACGGTTTGTCAAGGAGTTTTTGCTGATCATGACCTTCCCTCCAGCGCCGACATTCACACTCGCCGTTCGCGAGTCGTCTATGCTATCCGCGCGTATATTTACTCTCGGCACTACTCTCGTACAGTACAGAGCCTCGGTGAAGAATTTCTCGACCTCTATTCACCTTGCTTATAATTCACAAATGACACTCACCTTTCATCCGATCCTGCCTCAATCACATCTCGCACTACAGGATCCAAAGCGTCAATCTGGAAATTTCTTCTATATAACAACGGAAAATGGGAATAAATTTCACAATACCTTTTCTCTATGAAGGCTTCCGTCATAGAACGAACTGAGAACACCTAAGCCTCTATACCGCCTGTATCGAGGTCTGAACAGTTTCCCGCTATGCCGTCCGAGATTCTAAAACCAGAGAAAAAGACATAAATATGCTTCAACGCAAAAATGGGAAGATACTACCAATAGCGCACCATCGAAGGTGCACTTCCCACACATCGCATCAACGATGCTGGCGTTTCGTGTTTCCATAACAGAGGTCTGTTTCATTAATGGGTAGCGATGCATTACCCGAGACTAAAAACAGATTTCGATACATCAAACGAAAAAAACGGCAACAAAAAGAGTTAGCTCTCACAATAGATCTGACGCCATCAAGAAGCGGACGATCAGGTCGGTTTACCTCAGGGTGGTCCTCTTCGGGTACAGGTCCGAGTGGAACCCGCCCAATAGGAATGTGTAGTCGGCCATCTCCGAGATCTTGAATTGTGTTGACGGTCAAAAATAAAAGTAACACGATGCTATTACCTACAATGGTAACTTACCCAAACGAGATATTCCGCCGTGAAAATCTTGGAGTACCCCTGAAAATGATCACACTTCAGTCCGGGTTGAAGTTTGTTCTGAACCGAAAAAAAAGAGCAAGACAAAAGTCAAAAATTCTACCCAAACAAGCATAGTTCAAAGAAGTCTTGTCTGAGAGTATTCACTTCCTCTTGACACAATAAACACCTCCCTCAATCTCTTGCTACCGGATATTTCAGGAAGATTCAAAGAAAAATACCTGCGTCAGCTTCCGGTAAAGGTACACTGGAGAGTGACATGACTGTTCGCTAAAGGCCGTCCCTTTTTCGTATCTTCCTATAAAAAAATAAACGTGAAATATAGCTTCGCGAAAGGGCAGACTGAAGAATACAATCCCGAACAGAGAAGTGAACTCAAAACCCCTGAATAATTAATCTAAACGAACTGAAGGTGCTTGCTTGCTGTGTGTCTTGTCATCATCCGCGGAGAATGCAAAAAAGAGATCATCAGCGTCTATGTGTTCTTGCGTAGACTGGAAAGAGAGTAAATTTTTTGGTTCTACAAACTTTCAACCCGAAGATTAAAACTCACCAACTTCGGCCTTAAGCTAGGTCCAGAAGGTTCCTTCTTGTAGTCTACTGCGCGAAAACCTTCTTCTACAGTAGCATATGACGATGGCTCCATCTCAACCATTTCGAATTGTTCATCATGTGGAGAAGTCGTACCAATCCCAGTCCGAGATCCTCTTCCAAGGTCGTTTGGCTGAAAACGCCTTGCAGGCGATTATAAACATTTATACTGCTAGGCCTCTCCCGTGAAAAGAAGTTCCTGTACTAATAATATGGATTCTAACCTCTTGCTCGGAATATATATCACTCGCTGATTCTTCGATAATCGGTGAAGCAGTCCTATGAGTAACTTCCTCTCCAGTCATTCGTAAACCCGCGGGACCATCTATAGATGAAAGATGTAAATGTAAAGTAAATGCAGTCAGAGCAGGGAAATCGATATCGAGCATTGTATAAAAAAGACCTTTACCGCGATCCCGGTAATGTTTTAGCCAAGTGACCACAGCGTGGCCTAATAGTCAGCCACACCCTTACATAGAGAGACCGGTACTGTTCGATTAATTCAGCATTTTTTAGCA